TACCTATGCGCGGCCAGATCAATCGTACATTTGAACAGCTGAGCACAGTTTTCACATTTGAATTTCCATTCATTTCCATGTAATACTACATGCTCTCTTAAAGCCTCCACAGAATAAAACGCTTGCCTGCAAACATTACATGCGAATAACGTATCACTTTTGGCTGTTCGTACATTGTCATTCGTCACAGTTCCACCTCTTTGATTGACATTCTTAGTAGCTAAGCCTTGCATAAGATTTGGTGGTTTATTAAGACCTGACATGCTTAGATCCAGGCAAGAATCACTGAATGGGATGTTCTGCTGGCAAGGGGCAGTTTGTGGTTTAGCACAGTTTCCTTCAGATGAGTCAGTAGTCAGGTCAACAACGATTGCAGAGTGTGGCTGTTGTTTTCTTGATACATGTTTCATTTTTGTAAGAGAACTCTGACAATTGAGGTTTGGGATTTTAACAGGCAAATCACAACAATTATCCTTTTCAGTTGTCTTTCGTTTAACTGGAGTAGACAATGTGGACAGAGCATTGACATTATTTATTGCGTAACAAGCTGTGGGAATTGCCTGACCACCCAGTGTATATATAGTTTTTGTCGTTGCAGTCTGTTGTGCCATAGTATGAGCCACATTTCTTTCAGCAGGTTTTAGAATCGATTGCATATTTGGTGTTGATGGGTTACTAGTGAGCTGAGACACTGGAACTTGTAAAGTATTCGGTTTCACAGTCGCTGTATTTGGTGCAACAAAGAACAACGGTGGTGGCACAGTTTTAGCAATGTTTGACGTTTGCACTGTTGCTGGATTCATATTCAACAGCTGTGGAATTGTTTTTGCAGTGCTTGTTGGAAAGTATTGTTTAACAGGAGCGCTTACTCTTTGTCTTTTACAAAAATTTCGTTTTGAAAATGGAGCATCAGACATCAAAATAGTTTGTTTTGCTGTATCAAGATTGATACCTTGACTGGATGTTGACGCTGATTGAAAATTATTATATGCAGATGTCCATACCAAACAAGGAGTTGATTTCATACTCTGTGCGGGAGCAATGCTGACAAATGATTGTTGTACGTTTTGTTTCAAGAGACCGGGTGTAGATTGTACAAAATGATGCGGGACAACATTTTTTTGAGCACTGTGCGTCACTAACACGTTACTTTTGTGAATGTTACGTGTGGCTTTTGGTATACTGGTTGCCACTTGCTGGAAGTGCGGTGTTGATAGTCTGGGGTTTACTTGTGAATTTCCAGAGTAGACATAGTGCTGCAGTATTGGAGTAATAGCCGGAGACTGTGCATTAACAAGGTTTAACAATTGTGAATTTTGTTGTACATCAGATTGCCGATTTCCTGTATAAACATTCTCATGCTGTGCTGTTGAAACCGGAGTGTTTCCTGTTAAAATTTGATGTCCCAATGTTGCGTTTGGTGCCACATGCATGTATCTTTGGTAAACAGGTCGTTGTTCCATGGATGGACAAGTCATAATAGCATGCCGCAGTGCTGGGTTACTACTGACTAGACTCGGCAACGATGTGTGTTTTTGAATTGTTCCACCACTTATATTAGCTCGCTGAGTACTCCCCGTACATAATTGCACTGTTGAATTGCTGGACACCACATATGATTCTGTAGATTTACACGTTACAGGTTGTGGACTATTTCCAATGTAACGTTGTGTTTGTTGTGGTCCTACTACTTGATTGTTTACATTTCTGGTAGGTTGTTGTAGTGTTGGTACACTAGCTACTAGATGTGACATGCTTCCTATATTGTTATGCGTTGATGGGTGTGAAGGTCTTGCATTTTGAATGGGTACATACTGCTGTATTATGGGTATGGTAGGAACAGGGTATTGCAAATGTGTAGTAGAAGGCTGCAAACATGACGTTCTTGGAATGACAGAATCTTGTGAAATTGTAAATTGGGTAGTTGGTTGGTTGAACTGTTCCTTTGATTGTGGCACATTTATAAATTCGTGTTGTTTATGTGTGGTCATTGTTTTACTTGAAGTAGAACTATGTCTTGTGGCCTTTCGCATTTCCACTGACATTAACTTGGAGGGAAGTCTAAGCTGAGCTTTTGAGCTAGCAGGAGTTAAATCTCGCACTTCCGAAAGTATGTTGCTACTACTTGGACACTTTTTTCCGGTACAGGTTGCTGGAGACTCTTTGGATGAAACAGTTTCTGTTAAACTCTGATCAATTTGTTTTGTCTTTCTTTTCATAACTGAAGGATTAAAATCTCTTGGGCCGGAGCTTCCTAGAAACGGTGGTCTAGTTGCAGCACTTGGTGGAGTCTTGATTTTAACATCAACTGATTTTATAAGGTTGGAATGC